AACCCTGTATATCTTTATGGCTATATGGTTAGTATGTGAAATAAAGTTTTTTTGCGGGTAACTTTTGTAATAGTTTTCCCAGGTGTTTTATATTGCGTCCGATTTCTGTACAGGTCCAGTTAAACCATAGCCGTTTCTTTGCTCTAGCAAGGAGCTGTTATAACTCCTTGGTTCTAGTTGACTTTGTTTTTTCATCTCCTTGAGTCGCTTATATTGTACTAGTGGGGCGTTCGCAGCATTTTCAAGGATGTCTGATATTGCCTTACACGCATAATTTACTTCTTCTTTGGTAGTTGGAAAATTAGTGTGCAACAGTCTACTAATGACTGAAATGCTTTCATCTTTTTCAAGTGCTGCAAGAAATTTTTCAGTGGAGTCTTTTTCCAAAATATAGCCTACTGATCACTTAATTTGTGAATGTGCGTAGCAGTTTTCTCTTTCGTGATTCCTGCACCTTGGATTGTAAGGTGTATCAGACCAGGGTATTATATCGTTAACTCTACGATATAATTCCCTGATCAGACAATTATCAGAAATGTAATCTATTGGATGAACTGTGCAATATTTGACTTTGTTGAGGAGATTATCACTAACCATATATCACGTAGTCTACATCGATGTCTATTGTAGCAGGTAAAATAACCAAGTGAGTTGCCAAGTGACCTCCTTTTAACTATGTTTAGGCTGCTACCGACACACAGTTCAACGAGATTTCTTCCTTGCATAAACCACAGTGTCAAGATTATTTCTCTTTCTTGGTGTAAGGTAAGATTCACAGTCATCAGGTGATCATATATGGTAATTCATTTCCGAGTTTAAGGATGTAATTAAGGTTTCAGCAAAGATGGAGGGAAAATTTTGAAAAAAAATCATTTTTTTAAAATCTGGTAATCTGAAGTGACCGTTGACTCTGAAAAAATTATAAGTTTCAAATAGCGTTCCGAGACAGGCGAAATTGATGTCGAAAGACAAGTGCGCGACTTTAAACATTTTCAAGTGGCCTCAGTGCATGTGGTCCACTGATTATTTTGGGGCTGTAAGAGCGTCAGAAATAAACCGTTTTGCCGCTGCATACTGTGGTATACCTGTGAAAGTGGGAAAACAACTTGATCGATAGCTACGAGAGACAATAGCAAAAGATGTGCTTCTGTGACCAGTGAGATGATTAAATTATAAACTACGCAGGTTTATAACATGGTCTGCCTTTGCGTCACGGGCTGCCTTTGTACGTAAGTTCCATTATTGAAATGAATGTAGGTCAGGGCATGGCATAACAATCATGCAGTCACTGTTTATAAACTGACATTTTAGCCGAAAACATTTTTATGTCGAAGTAAGCCTAATGAAGGGGAATAGGAAAAAGACAAAGGTAAAGCCCCCTGTTACGTTGGGCTTGGAGAACGTTTTTTTTTTTTTTTTTTTTTTTGCCTACTTGGAGTTTGACAATATTTGATGGTCGAAATCAAATTTATTTTATAAGTGTTATCGACCCTTAAAAATTGCAGCGTTTTCTTTAGTTAAATATTTCAATCGATTTTTGTGAAAGCGGGACGAATTTGCTCCCCAAATGGACGCAAGTTCGGTGTGTCAGTGGTTTTAAATCGTTCCATTATTGAGCAGCTTCTTAGAGACCAGATAATTGAAAAACCGACTCACCCCCTTTATAGGTTATAAAACTATACCTGCACTTCACCTTGGAGTTACGTACTTCCGATCAGCTGAAGGAGTGCATTAAAAAGCTAGAAAACTAGTTCACACGCTTTTAAAGTATACTATGCGTGTTAAAAATGCACTGTTTCTATATCTACATTTCCTGCAAAGATAATAATTTTTTTCACTACATACTTTTTTTAAGCTTAAAAAACGATAACAATTCTCTAATAAAATACTTAATGTCGATGTTTCCTTCTGAAAAATTCAGGAAGACATGGCGGTCAGTCATTTAGACCCTTTACCAGGATGACAGAGTGATTTTTCACAATTTATTTTTATTTACATTGAGTCCAAATGCAAGGACGGGTCGAGCAATGGTATGTAAAATCGCTTTAAAAAAAAGAAAATTCGATTCGACGGGAAAGTCAGGGATTGGACATCTTTAAAGAGGCATTTACCTGAAAAAGTATATATACTGTATATAACCATCAAACACATTGCTTTTGTTTCAGAGATTCTGGCTGTTGCTTTGAATTTGTTGGTTATTGTGGTAGGAGTATGGAAGAGGAATTACTTGATCTCTCATGATTACATGATCATCGCCTTGTCCTCAATCGACTTGTCCGGTCCCATCCTTGGCTACCCGTTAGCCATATATTCCAGCTTCACACATCGTTGGCAGTTTGAAACCTCAGGTAAGTGAAATGGACAGAAAGAGTTTAACGAACTTATGATCTAAGACCTAAGACCTAAGACCTAATTTTGATTCGAAATTTTATCCAGGTTTTAATGTCAAAATATCCGCCAAAATTTGAAATACAATCTTATAGTATCAGATTTTCAGAATGTCTGCAAATGTATACAAAATTAGCATTAGAATGTGCGCTTTGCAATAATCTCCTCCTGCAGGCGGCGCTACATGCTTACAACAAGGATAGCAAGTCTTGTATTGTGGGATATCAAAACGTCTGCAAATGTTATGCAACGATACTTTAACAGAAATAAATGTTTTTGGAGGTGTGCCAGCCAACTTGATCAAAAGTATATATGATTTATTCTGATCATAATATCTGCACGTATATTTCTACATTTCAGGTTGTGTATATTATGCCTTTATCGTGTTCTTTTGTGGCTTGAGCAGCATCGGACTTCTGGTCTCTCTCAGCGTATTTCGATACATCAAAGTGTGCCTTGTCACTTCACCAGGTAAATTCCCAGGGTACAGGTCCGAAAAGCCTTAGTCCTTAAGTGAAACCAGCCCCGTTCGCAAAAGAACTTGAAGGACTGAGAACTCTTCCTATTAGATTCAAAATTCCACAAAATACATTGTAAGTTGTAACCAACACATTAAATTTAATAAATTGCATTTTTCCAACAAAACGGCATTTAATTGTAATATCCAGATATGGTGAGATAATGGACCGTCATTGATTTGACAAATATAAATTTGACATTTTGAAATAATTATAATATAATTTCTAGGTTTCAAGTTTAGTACCGGCCAAGTATTCTTTGCGATTGGATTCACCTTTCTCTACTCTATACTGTGGAGCGCGTTGCCACTTGTTGGGTTTGGAAAATATGGCCCGGAACTCCACGGGACATCATGCTCAGTGGACTGGTTGAGTCGCTCCAATCATATGGTGTCTTACACCATATGCCTAGCCATCTTCACCTTTGGACTGCCAGTAGCCTTAATTTTTTACTGTTACATCAATATTGTTCTCACCACGATGAAAACAAGGCGCAATGCAGATAATCCATTGCCCACACTTGCGGACTCGCACTTGACTAAGGTAAAGAAACACTCACGCCTCTCTCTCTCTCACTCGATGAAATACAATTTTTCCTTAATATTTGCAAAACCTCTACGCTTATTTATTTCAGTTAATCGATAATCAAATTTATAATTTATTACAAAATGTTAGCAATCAAACACCCTCACTCCCTTACGAAAGTTTTCGAGTTACTCACCTATTAAGGAGTTGTTAGTAAAATAAACATCGATCTTTCCTCAGAACTTCTCAGAAAAAAAAAATAGAGATATATTTCCAGGTTGTCGTGTTAATGTGTACAGGATTTCTGATTGCCTGGACGCCTTATGCAGTGGTTAGCTTCTGGGCAGTGTTTGGGGACGCCTTGTCCATTCCGTACATTGTCAGTGCCCTGCCTGCTCTGCTGGCTAAGGCCAGCCATGCTTACAACCCCATCATATACTGCGCCATGAACAGGAAGTTTCAACGAATGCTGTTTGAAAACTGGAACGCTAGAAGAGCATCAAGGCAGCAGGTAGGTAACCTGAATCTCAGAGGTCACTTGGAATCTCACCTCTTTAAAAACTGCATGTTTCTATCATTTTTTTTGTCTAAACAGCTTGCTTTGCTAGCTAGCACATTGGTCTCAGTGATTCCAGTTCTACATAACACTCTCCCGTCATGTATTTCAGACCTTCGCTAATCAGACCCAAGGACCAAGAATCGTCCCCCTTTGTGCAGAGACTTCAACGGTCATGCACGCCATATCACAACAGGGAGAAACCTCAGCTTGGGATGGAGAACTACGCACACTCAGGCCCGTCAGTAGTCCCATCAGATTGCCAGGTGGACCTAACAACGCCATCGAGCTGCAACAATATGCATGGGAAAAACCGGTGCAGCCAAAGATGATCCCTCGTTCTGCAACTGTTTCATTGTAAGATGATTAATGCGCTAAAGATATATCACGATTTTTTTTTACATATTATTGAAAAACAGCTAACTTAGATTCCTTCGTGTTAAGAGAAAGAAAGAGAGAGAGAAAGATGAAAGTTGAATGACTGGGCGTACGTTGTTCAAATCGGAAACTAAATAATCATTTTAGATAAATAAATTTGCATCATAAAAGGTGAACGTACGATCAGCAGATTTTGCTGTGCTGACAGTCTGTCTGTTAACTTGCAAATAAATAAATATATTATAAATGTGTGTAAGTGTGGTCCGTGATGTTATAAAGTAGGGGTTTAGATTGTGGTAGTTATAGCCTGGGTTCGGGTTGGATGGTGTTTGTGCCCGTATGACACATGCAATGAATATGAGACCACGTAAATGTAGTGCTTCGGGTAATTTAGTATTTTATTTTTGCCAAAAAGGCCACGAGGAGGTTGAGATAGAGTAAGCTGATTGTGATTTGATTGGTTAGGTTTGGTGGACCTGGATTGTAAATGATTAAGCCACTGACTGTCCACGAAGTTGCCTTTACTGCAGCTAGAGAAATGTAGTGCCTAGTGGAGAAATTATTGGGGTGGGGTTGATGTCTTTGGCTATGGTACTCTTTTTAAGAGCTTGATCTTTTAATTGTTTAAAGGCAAACACGTTGTAAATACATGAGTATTGAGGGATGGTCGATGTAAATCTCTTTGTATATTATATACATGTAGTATGATATCTTGTTTTGTTGAAGGTATGACATCTCATTCATGGTTAAAAGGCGGGTAATGGAAGCAGATATTTTTCCAGTATTTTATATGGACGTGAACCTTGGATAAAAACTCGTAAATTTTTAGAAGTCACTTCCAGGTCATTAGTTATGTCTCTGCTTGGTGTAAGAGTGACAACGCCTAACAATTAATGTTTAGGCGAGCTTGGTTTATGAAGTGCAAAAGCCCGCGTGAAAATCGCTCGGCATAAATTCATGGTAAAGGCTCTTGAACAACGAGAGGAAGTAGTAGTACATGATAACCCATACCTGGACTACCTGCAAGCAGGCTAATACAAACGCATTCAAATACCTAAATGGTATTTTGCAGCACAATATATAAGGGGAAAATTGACTTATTGAACTGTAAAGAAAGGGTGCGTGTGTCTCAAAATTGTAAGGTTGTATTGTATAGAGAGATTAATCCGGATCAAACCGTCTCAGGCATTTCTGCTGACATGGACATCAAGGAGTTTGAAAGAATTATTGGAACTCGGTACAGGTTGTCCTCACACGACCTGACAGTGAAGAAGGGCCGCTGGTCCTGCGTCCCTTTAGAGGATCGGAAATGAATCCTTGGTATCGGTGAAATCTAGACAGTAGAACATGTTTTGTGTTTTTGTTCTGTGGCAATCTGTATACGAAAGGAAAATCCTGCGTGAGATTTTTTAGCTCAGTAGAAGGGGCTATGCACGACGTGTGTCGTTTGATATATTCTGTAAACTTTTTTTCCTAACATAATGCTAACATTGTGTTACCGTTTTATTGGCATGTATTAAAGCCATATGGGCTTAACCAACTTGAGTATAATTATGAAATTGTTTTTGTTACGCTGATTGTATATATATATATATATATATATATATATATATAAAGTGTATTCTGAGGTTTGTAAAAATACTTTGTACTTTCTGGTCACGTTGGAGTAAATTATCTATCTATGCACCGTCACATTCAGTGTGCCCCACAACATTGTTCTCGTTATCTTGTGAAATAAACTATTTAAATACGTTTATGTGCATTTTTTGTACGCCACAATTGCTTTTAGATTGCTGGGATGGTGCATGGTTTTTCAATTATGAATTTAGTGGAAGGAAAAAGTTTTTAATCAATTTCTATAATTCTGATTAAAGGTTGCTGTCATTGATCGCTGAATTCGAAATTTGTGCATAGGCCTAAAGCGTGCCTATTTTTACAATTATTCTCACCACTCTAAATGATTTTGGTTAAATTGACCAACACGGACAACTGTAACACTTCTGTAGCCTACATCTTTAAAATCAAACAGCAAGTTAAAGGTAAACAATGCTCATTAGACTTTAATTGAGGAAAAAATCTTGCTGAAAATTTTACTTCTTTTTCGCCACGCCCATAGCCGTCGTCAAATTTTAGATCTGATATTTCACTTTGAGTTCTCTGTTATTAATATTTGGGAATTAACCTCGTAGCAGAGAAGGATGAATTGCACTCGTAAGGGTTAAAATAAGAATTTTAAGCTAAAAAAATGGTGTATATCAATGATTCTCTCAACAGTTTTGGATAGGGTAAGGAAATTATTTAAATTTCTAGGAAAATAATATTTCTATATATAATTCTAACGCGCGATGCATACCTTTATAATTAATAGGCATAAAACGGATGGATTGTCAGTCACCATTAAATCTAATCTGACTTAATTTTACAAAAACTGTGTTCATACATTTTGTATGGCATGACTAAACCGTCATCTGTAACGCCACGAAATGAACGCGGCTTTGATTGGCCAGTTTGTTGAAAAGCTGTCACCAGTTGCTGCGTATAAATTCGTGCATCACATGACCACATGTTTGCACAGAGGAGGCGTCAGGACGCAGGGAGAAGGTGTATCCCTAGTAGGGCCTACTTCAACGGTTAGTAGATTTAAACTCTATTTGGAATATTTTATAAAAGCAGACTATGCACAGCATGATCAGATTTGCATGAATATTGCATTTTAGATTCATATGTCACCATATTCAATAAACCTGTAAGATGTAATAGCGGTGTGAGGCTTTACTCTGATAACTGTTAGAATAGTCGCTAGCGTTTCAAATGTATTTCTTGTATGAGGTTCATCCATCAAAGATTTTCATGGACACAAAAAATAAGTGTATGCCAGGGACCAATCACAATTAAATGGTGTTTACGTGGCACGCTTGAAATATTGAACATCAATTTTTATCAAAATAAAACTTCGAAACCACGAACAGAGGCAAAGAAAGGCCAAAACAGTCATTCATTACTATGTGGTCAGCAAAATAAAAAAGTTATATCTCCGATAAAAATATCTCCAAGTGCCTGTAAAAACAAAGTTTGAAAAGAAACATATGGTTGTAAATTTCTAAATGAAATTAAAAAACGCCCGATAGCAAATTAAACGCAGTTCCTTCCTAATAACATGAAATCGCGTTTCATTTCAGTTTCCAAGTACAATGAAGGTTTCTGCAGCTCTTTGGGTAATATGAATATTTTGTCTTTTTTTTGCTCGTTATAAATATGCACAACACTTTGGTCAGCATCTGAAAAACAGACGTGGTTTATGGCAGCTATTATTAATTAAATGTAGGATCTATACGCTGTGTTAATTAACTTGCAAATATATTAAGATTATTGTTTAATATTTAGTATGGCTATCAAATGTTGGCATCAGGTCATTTTTTAAACTTTGGATAACTGCTATTTTATTATTTTAGTGTCTCCACGTTTATTTGGCTGTCTTTATTCTTGACACGACCAACTCATCTGGTAAGTGTCTCTCTCTCCTCCCCTCTCCCCTCTCCCCCCCCCCCTCTCTCTCTTTCTCATACATCTATCCTAAAACTCAAAAATCATGCATGGAATTTTCATAACGCACTGACAGTCAGTGACTCATTCGGGAAATTAAGAATCTGTTCAAGTTATGATTCCCCTTAGGTTCTCCTCTCCACTCCATACACTTCTCTAGATGCGCAAATGAAGACTGTGCAGTGTTACGTTTTACCGATTTAAATAGGACGTCCTATTCCTTCTTTATCTTCATATCAAATTCTCACTGACAATAATATCTTTTTGGGAACCAATTTTCTCGACATGTGTGAGACGTGAAGAAAGTTTGATACAAATGAAGCATTCATTAAGTCTGAATTTCGGAGCATCTCATCTCTAGCTCTCCTTCATAGTGGACAGAAAATGCTTAAATCAATAGAAAAAAAAATAATTTCTATTAAATCTACTTCAGCCACCTATCGCTGCGGAGTGAGCCCAAATGAAGTGATAATAGTCGTAGTAAACGACGCTAATTACGCGAACACGTACATCGCGGATTATAAAGATGACCACAACTGTCGACCAGCGTTTACTGGCTCACAACAAAACTGGACTCTTGCGACATTCACACTGGCAGAAAACTCCTGTGGAATGACATCATCGGTAAAGTGTTTCTCTTCTAGCATAGTCTTAGGCTGCATTCAAAACAGAAGTTGATCTGCGGACTAACAGATCTGCGGATCAAATATGGCCGATCCACTTGAAACCTTCCCGCCCAATCCCCGCCAAAAATCCATCACTGTCTATTAGGGAATAAAGCGGCAAGCTCTCACGTGGGTCGGCCATATTTTATCGGTGATTTGTAGAAGTAATTGCTGTAACTTTATGTAGCAATGTTACTCCAAACTTTCGACGGTATTTATCGCAAATCATATTACTGTGAAAAGGTTACGTTGACATAAGAGCAGGTTTTAGCCTACACAAAGAACGGGTGCTGTACAAGTCGTGGAGAATTTTTGAGTTACCGGTGGCTCTGTGTTGCCTGTAAAAGTGCGTGTTACAACTTGTTTCATTTACAAATGAAGTAGAGGTTATATCTTTTCTATCATTGTTGCTATGAGTACAAAACTACATATTTCCTTTTTGATAAAATAAAAAGGCTGATATATAATGCAAAATTCATTTCAGGGCGGACGCGACCTATGGACCGTTTTAGCGACAGAGAATTCCCGCATAGAACAACACACTGATGTTGAATTCACCACGACTCCGGGCTGCGACTTCACTGGAGACGAGACAGTTATTGTGGAAATAACCTCTGTTCGCGTGGAGAACATGTACGTAGATATTTTCTTTTTTGAAAATTAATGTTGTAATTGTGAATGCAAAATATTACGATTCATTTTCTTTTCAACATTCAAATTTTTATTAGGCAAATGCAAATATTTAGTTACAAACCCCAAAAGATGAATTTGAAATATAAGAAAAAAGGGGCGAATTATACTACAATTATGGTGGATGCAATGCTTTTAAATGATCCTTTTTCTCATGTGGTTTGAGAAATGCCTTCATAATAAGTGTGAATATCTAGCGACCGATCAGATAACCGTTAGCAATGAACTGACCATGATGTATTAGTAAATGGTTTTGGGATTTGGGCTTGGCCGAGATCTTCAAATTTTTAGGGCTTAAAAAGCAACATACTGGTACTAAACACCTCCAAAGTCAGCTATTGCATAACATTATGACAGAAGTTTTAGTCCAACAGAACACGCATTTCTAAATAAAATGTTATTAGCTAAAAGCTTGGATTTGCCAAGATGGTCTGATAGTTTGGCAGATTGATACCGACGAGCATTCTGTATAATTTAAGTAAGATGTAATTTTAACATCTTATGAACTCGTCTCCATGAGGCTAAAATACAGTTAAACCATATTTACCATGATTACATGCTTGAGCAGCGGCTGATATATCGCATATTACTTCGTATTTAGATTTGTTTGTTTTTAATTGTGAAAGTTATAAAATCTTAGCTGTTTATCTTAAGTGCTTATCTGCAATGACCATGAATGCATATGTTTGGACATAGATAAATGTGGGGCACCATTATAATTCATCAGAATTATTTGCAAGCCAAGAAGATGCGGTATAACTCTTCATTAGGCCTACATCAATATGCAATTGCGTGCTTTGCAAAGGCAAATATTGAAAAATTGTTGCATAGTCGTGATGTTTATTTATGGGAAATAGTATGTCCTTTACAATAGCATTATTTGAGATTTTATTGTATTTTGTTGTTGTTTTTTATCGCATGAATTTGAAAACATTTTCTATCTTTTATTTGCCAGAACGCTTTCGCAAAGTGCTGCAAACCTTGCCGCTGAAACCGTTACCATGGTGATGAATCGAAATAGCGATGGCGCTGAGATCCCAAGCTGTTACTTAGGCGAACCCGTTTCCCTCTCGATGACTCTAGGAGAATCAAAAAGTAATTAATTGGCTCATTCGCAATGAAATAGTTTTTATTGGGGATCACGATCTCCGTTTTTAAAGAAAAATAAGTCAAAAGTAGCCCTCCACTTTAAAGCCTAAAATTTGTGTGGTAGACATTGGATTAAAATTAACTTGGGTCTGTAATCATAATAGAAGTGCTGGTCGACAGTTGACTTATTTAAATTGATCACTACAAAATTCTAGTGTGAAAGTGGTAATCATATTTCGGTCTTAAAGTAAATACCAAATTTGGTGCATATGTATGAGAAAAAAAGATGCTTCATTCTCTCTAATTGGAGATTTTTTGAGAATAGTTGAAAGAAAGATATTTCAAAATGTATTCTTATTTCTGAACATACAGATTGATTCATGAAGTGTTAGTTCTTATAAAAGTATCTCGTCTTTCTTTAATTAGCTGCAAAGGGTATAAAAGTGTTTGGATGTTATGCAAAACCTACGAAAAGTTCAAATGAAACGTTTGCTCTTCTGGGTGATAACGGGTAAGTACATTTCTTTGAAGTTTGATATAAAACAAAGCAATCCTAATGTTTTTCTGAGCTACTGTTACATCAATTAAAAGGTTTTTTAAATTAAGTTACTCGACTTGCCTGCACATAACATTTAATGCTGTTTTTTGTAAGTCATTACTATTCAAGTTTTTTTTTTTCATTCTGGGAAGGGGTCACGTGGGTATTGAGTTTGTTGTCTCCGAACCCACAGTACACATTAATGTATGATTGGATCACTTACAGATACTTATAGGACTGATATCGATAACATTTTTTTTTCACATCAGGTGCCCCGAAGACAATCAATTCATTTCTGATCCATTCTCTGGCCAGGGGAATTATATTACATCTGGTGCATTCAATTGTTTCAAATTCCCAGAGTCGACCACCTTGTATTTCACCTGTGAGATAGGGTTTTGCACCACGAATGATGATTTAAGGTGTATATCGGTAAATATTTTATATACCTTTACGTGTATGTGTAGAAACCTTCGTTTATTCGAGAACTAGTAGCCATTCAAGAACTTCAACTACTGGGTTTAAAGCTATAGTTGTCCCATAAAGTTTTGCTTTGGTCAAATAAATTTCTTAATTTGTCAATCCCTACACGAATAACCCTCAGCTTGAGAGACTCGTGCAGACTCGATTTTATTCCTTTCGACTGCCTTGTTCATTTTGATACATGATTTTGTACACCGTTCGAGGTAGACGATAAAATATCGGCTGCAATGATCGTCTGCGAAAATTTGAAGCTCGGGGTGAGAGAAATTGGAGATAAACGACAAACCTAAGAAAACATTATGCTGGGCTATTAAAAGCTGTTGCCTATAAATGATCAAGAGAATGATATTTATAGTTCAAAATACATCGTGATCCATCTTCACGGTTAGTCGCTTAGATGAATGCGTATACCTGTAGGTCTTTATGGGCTACTGTAAATAAACTTTCTATTGGATAATAAAGACTTTATTCATGTATTTGGACCTGATGATTCGCACTTCCTTTAATGGTTATTGTCTTTCGCGTTATTGAGAGATACAGATGACTATTATTGATTGTTTAAGACTGTTTTAACAACATTTGATCTATTTCACAGGGTCCTACCTGTGCTTTTGCCGCACAAGCTGTTGCCGTAAAATCTGTTGTCGACAGAAATAAAAGACGGGTGACTGGTGAAGAGCAAAAATCACCAAAGACGCCTCGCGTTGACGTCATCAACTCCCCGTACCAGCCGGAGACAGAGGAGCACTACCCGATAAGTTTAGAAGTTTCAGTCATCACATTACCGGAGGAAAACCCGTTTAGCAATAACAAAGGTAACTATTATATGAATAAAAGACACTGGCGTTCAAATTTCGAAAAAAAAAAAACTACCGTCTTAAAAAGTTTATCTAAAACTTTTTTAGAAATATTGGAAGGTAGAACTTCGCTTCATTCGTAGTAATAACCTTATTCAAGATATCTAGTAAAATAAAGATATATATTTAATTTAAATGGTAAAATAATTTAAAATAAGCGGCGTATTTTTGTCCACTACAAATATAACTTTGTCATTTTATATATGCACTTTCGTTTCAGAAAAAATGGAGGTGCCAAAAGCCATGAAATCAGCAATTTTTACAGTGACGACTATTGCCCTGGCGTGTCTGTTTCTGGCTGCGGTCGCAACTGTTATCATCGTACCTCTCCGAATGTTAAAATTGCGCCGTCAACTGAGAAACTCCACTCAGCTGCATCATGACGCCAGTTTCAACACTCCTGTTCACATTCCAGTCACTATTCTCAGACCTTAATAAGATTATATCGCAATTTGTAATGTAATCCAAATGTTTGAGTCACAAAAAAAGATATGTCTATATAAAATAAAGGAATTGCAGGTAAAATATTGAAACACGTTCTTGTTAACATTGACTTTCACGGGATTAGATCGGGACCAAGGCGATTTTGAGTCGTGATGCACACGAACTATCTATTAAAGTGCTGGCGACATTCTCTCAGTTCGACTGAATGTTAATATTTCTGTGACTGTGACAAGTCACGGTCTGTATAGTGTTGAGTGCACTGCGGCACAACCCCCTCCCCACAAAATAAATAAATAAATGAATAAAAAGGTGTAGATAGCAAATTTCTAAAACTGCGCACTGCACGTATTTCAAACTAATTTACACCGGTTGTTTGGACCTGAATGAAAATATTAAAAAAACGTGGTCTTTTTGGTACACGTGCCCACTAACGATGACAGAATAAAGTAAGACCGAAAGTTGGTACACACTTGTTTATAGCACAAAAAATTAGTCTATTTTAAAGCAAACATAAGTAGCCCCTATTGAGCCATTGATGTGAAATGATCGGCCTTTGTTTTAAAAAGGGAAAAAACAGATTCGGTTTAGGTTATATTTGTGGACTGTCACAGAATTACACAGAATTATCCTAAAGTAAAACTAAAATTGGCCTCGGTGTTGCACCTTTTGATATATGTTTCTTAATGAAACCGATCTCCTAACTGCACTTCAGATAACCCTTCATAGTTATTGCCCAAGACGGTTTTCAAATAGCAAATGGTATTCATATATGATGCTGTCCTAAAAGAAGATTTTAAATGACACAAGTAACAGAGGACGCATAATAAACTAAAAAGTGCAGATTTCAATGGGAATGTCGCATTTACCCATAGGTACAGCTGCACATTTTTCAGCAGTAAAAAAAAAAAATTAAACTGGCATTTTCAAAAAATTATTAATATTGCTGGTGATCAAATATTGTAGGGGGGGGGGGGGCACGCCCCTTACATACTTTTGTAGTAACTCCTCCTCCCTCCAAAAATAATGACAAGCAAAAAAGAGACTAAAAAGAGTGATTGTAAAATCCCTGTTACAGTGTTAAAGTAAACCTTACCTCTTTTACTATGATTGTAGGGACAGAATATAAGCTTTTAAACCTACACGATGTATTCAGCTTAATTTGACGTACTGTACTGTACTGAGAATGTACTCTAAGCGAAGAAGTGTTTTGACCAAACTGGTGTGACGAAACTGAGCAGGGTCCGTGTAACAGAGAATCCATTCTCCCTTTCTTTATGGAAGTTGGGGTTAGCCTGACTTAAAAATATAAAATTCAAAATCTAAAGCTTTGTGCACGATTATTAATAAAAAATAAAAGCACAGATTCAAAGTCAACTATCTTCAAATTTCTGCCATAATCTACTTACATTATTTATCACCATAACGTACGATTAAGAATTTAGAAAAATATATAAGAATTTTAAGCATTTAAACGAGAAAAACACTCAAAGAAAACAGATCTCTATAGCAAGGCAGCTCAGTTCTCTCTTTTTTCTATTATTATTATTATTAGTAGTAGTAATCATTTACTAATTACTTGATAAATCAATAAACTCAATTTTCAATATTGTTAATAATTTATTTATCCACTAATTGATAAGTTAAATTCTGAAAATTATTAATTTAATAAACAATTCAAATTAATAAACTAATCTAATGATTATTACATCTAGCAAATTTCTCTCTCAGGTTCCCTCCACAGCTTTTTGCATAATCTTGCTAACAGACAAAGAGATTTGATTAATTAACTATAACTGCAAATCTACTCGTTTGTTACTTGATTTTCTCTCGATAGTTTGTGAAAATAATTAGGAAAATCCTTCCTACCCACCTGAATACTTCCCCAATGGAAATCTATTCATCGTCTTTTAGCGGATTAGACGGTAAGCTTTGAAGTGGGTCGCCATATTTGATCCTCGGACTAGTTAGATCGCATTCACAACGATTTGAGCCAGGCTTTACAAATCCTGAGACTAAATATGGCGAACGGAGCCGAGATTTAATGACTGTACCCCGCAGGGACGACGTGTGGGGGGAGGCGTGTGAGAAGCGGAGAGACTATTAAAAGATTAGGCGGTTTTCCTTTCATGTACGTCCGCCATATTTAGTCTCAGGATTTGTAAAGCCTGGCTCAAATCGTTGTGAATGCGGTCGGAGTCCTATTCTGAATGGGGCCAATGACATACACGGTACTCGGGCAGTCTGCTATCCGAGCCAATTTTCACAAACTTCAGTCTACGGTTGCATTTAGATGGGATTTTCACGGCAAAAGGCAAATATCCCGCACTCACGAATTACTGTTCGACCCTCCTTACACTTGGGTTTGATGTTTTGTACATTTAAGTACAGTGAATCATTCATATTTCGCTATCTGCCTTGGGTTTGATATTTTGTATAACTAATTTCCTTGAATCATTCCTATCCACTTGCCTTTCTTAAGGAAATATTGCCACCAGACACTTTTATTTTAGAGTTTTTTATTTGCTTCTTATATCTGAATCTGAAGTATAAAATATCAAAAACTCCGCCAGTATATTATGAAATATGCTTCTGCGTTTCGGACTACGCAGCTGGAACTAACAAATGGAGTCCACCTTTAATTTAACATTTCTTTGGTAAATGTTACTAAATCAATCTATATGTCATTTCTTTAAACATTAGACATCTTTAAAAGTATCATCCTCAGATGTATTTTACAAATCACAGGTAATGAAATACAAGTATATCACATTTGCCACACCTGTAAGTATCATAATATGTGCCTTGATCTAAGACATCCTCTGCACATGCCATACAAACAAACCGGCAGCTTAGCCAATTAACTTGGTCAATTAACTCGCCCATTATGCTGTTAACAATGCAAAGACACCATAAAGAATGGGCCCAGCCAGGGTGTAATAAACATGGGGTCTGGGCTTTTTATGCATAGGACTAGATTTGGTCCGGGCCTTTGACATACTGTATATATAGCCATGCTGGAGCTTCACTGACCCGGGGCAACATGTAAAACGGTTTCTTGGAAAACTGTAGATCTAAACTACCGTCTTCGGTGGCGTCGCTGTGATTGGTCAGTTTGTTGAGAAGCTATCACTCAGTGCTGTGTATAAATTCACACGCAGCTTCCTGTGCCGTGTTGGGCAAGGAAGGGAGTGGCTTTAATCTCTTTTTTTTTGTATTTTGAGGATATTCGCAGATAATTCGAGTGTCAGACGGACCGGTAAAGAGGTAGGTTAAACTTGGTTTGAGGACTACTGTTGCCAGGAGGCTTCCTGCTCAAATATATTTCTTATAAGATGTATCCATCAAAGATTTTCATGGACACAAATAATAAGTGTATGCCAGGAACCACTCCCAATTAAATGGTTTTATGTGACACGCTTGAAATAGTGATTATTATTTTTTATAAAAATTAAACTTCGAAACCACGAACAAAGGCAAAAACAGTCATTCATTACCATGTGACCAGCAAAATAAAAAAGTTATTTGGAGGAATCTCCGATAAAAATATGTCTAAGTGCCTGTAAAAACAAAGTTTGAAAAGAGACATATGGTTGTAAATTTCTAAATGAAATTTAAAAAAAAAAAAAAAACGCCCGTTAGCAAATTAAACGCAGTTCCTTCCTCATAACATGAAATCGCGTTTCATTTCAGTTTCCAAGTACAATGAAGGTTGCTGCAGCTCTTTGGGTAATATGAATATTTTGTCTTTTTTTGCTCGTCATAAATCTGCACAACACTTTGGTCAGCATCTGGGAAACAGACGTGGTTTATGGCAGCTATTATTAATTAAATGTAGGATCTATACGCTGTGTTAATTAACTTGCAAATATATTAAAATAATTGCTTAATATTTAGTATGGCTATCACACGTTGGCATCAGGTCATTTTTTAAACATTGGGTAAACTATTATTTTATTATTTTAGTGTCTCCAAGTTTATTTGGCTGTCTTTATTCTTGACACGACCAACTCATCTGGTAAGTCTCTCTCTCTCTCTCATACGTCTATCCTAAAACTAAAAAATCATGCTTGGAATTTTCATAACGCACTGACAGTCAGTGACTCATTCGGGAAATTAAGAATCTGTTCAAGTTATATGATCCCCCTTAGGTTCTCCTCTCCACTCCATACACTTCTCTAGATGCGCAAATGAAGACTGTGCAGTGCTACGTTTTACCGATTTAAATAGGACGTCCTATTCCTTCTTGATCTTCATATCAAATTCTCACTGACAATAATCTTTTTGGGAACCAATTTTCTCGACATGAGTGAGACGTGAAGAAAGTTTGACATAAATGAAGCATTCGGTCTAAATTTCAGAGCATCTCATCTCTAGCTCTTCTTCAGAGTGGACAGAAAATGTTTAAATCAATAGAAAAAAAAGCAATTATTTCTATTAAATCTACTTCAGCCACCTATCGCTGCGGAGTGAGCCCAAATGAAGTGATAATAGTCGTAGTAAACGACGCTAATTACGCGAACACGTACATCGCGGATTATAAAGATGACCCCAACTGTCAACCAAAGTTTATTGGCTCACAATCAAACTGGACTCATGCGACATTCACACTGGCAGAAAACTCCTGTGGAATGACATCATCGGTAAAGTGTTTCTCTTCTAGCAAAATCTAAGGGTGGATTCAGAATATAATATCCGAGTATCAACAGGTCCAAGGCTAAAATATGGCCTACCTTACTTGAAAGGAAGACCACTGCAATGGTTTTTCCGACTCTCACACGCCTCCCCACGCATTTGGTCGATTGGAACCGAGATTTAATTATTGTGCCCCTGCAGGGACGACGCGTGGGAAGGCGTGTGAGAGGTGGAATGACCATAAGAGGATTAAGTGCTCTTCCTTTCATGTAATGTCTGCCATATTTGAGTCTTGGAACAGTTGATACTCGGATCTTCTATTCTAAATGACCCCTTAGCCCGCATTCAAAACAGAAGTTGATCTGCGGACTAAAATATCTGTGGATCCAATATGGCCGAATGAAATAAAGCGGCAAGCTTTCAAGTGGGTCGGCCATATTATATTGGTGATGTGTTAGTCCGCGGGTCAACTTATCATGAATGCCCCCTTACTTTAGCTGCTGCTTGTAGAAGTAATTGTTGTAACTTTATGTAGCAATGTTACTCCAAACTTTCGACGGTATTTATCGCAAATCATATTGCTGTGACAAGGTTACGTTGACATAAGAGCAGGTTATACACAAAGAACGGGTGCTGTACAAGTCTTGGAGAATTTTTGAGTTAGCGGTGGCTCTGTGTTGCCTGTAAAAGTGCGTGTTACAACTTGTTTCATTTACAAATGAAGTAGAGGTTATATCGTTTCTATAATTGTAGCTATGAGTACAATACTACATTTTTTCCTTTTTGTTAAAGTAAAAAAAGACTGGTACATAATGCAAAATTCATTTCAGGGCGGACGCGACCTATGGACCGTTTTAGCGACAGAGAATTCCCGCATAGAACAACACACTGATGTTGAATTCGCCACGACTCCGGGCTGCGACTTCACTGGAGACGAGACAGTTTTTGTGGAAATAACTTCTGTTCGCGTGCAGAACATGTACGTACATATTGTTTTTTTCTTTTTGAAGATTAATGTTAAAATTGTGAATGCAAAATATTACGATTCATTTTCTTTTCAACATTCAAATTTTTATTAGGCAACTGCAAATATTTAGTTACAAACCCCAAAAGATGAATTTGAAATATAGAAAAAAGGGGCCAATTATACTACAATTATGGTGGACGCAATGCTTTTAAATGATCCTTTTTCTCATGTGGTTTGAGAAATGCCTTTATAATAAGTGTGAATATCTAGCGACCGATGATAACCGTTAGCAATGAACTGACCATGATGTATTAGTAAATGGTTTTGGGATTTGGGCTTTGCCGAGATCTTCAAGTTTTTAGGGCTTAAAAAGCAACATACTGGTATTAAACACCTCCAAAGTCAACTATTGCATAACATTATGACAGAAGTTTTAGTCCAACAGAACACGCATTTCTAAATAAATTATTAGCTAAAAGCTTGGATTTGCCAAGATGGTCTGATAGTTTGGCAGATTGATACCGACGAGAATTCTGTATAATTTAAGTAAGATGTAATTTTAACATCTTATGAACTCGTCTCCATGAGGCTAAAATACAGTTAAACCATATTTACCATGATTCCATGCTTGAGCAGCGGCTGATATATCGCATATTACTTCGTATTTAGATTTGTTTGTTTTTAATTGTGAAAGTTATAAAATCTTAGCTGTTTATCTTAAGTGCTTATCTGCAATGACCATGAATGCATATGTTTGGACATAGATAAATGTGGGTCACCAGTATAATTCATCAGAATTATTTGCAAGCCAAGAATATGCGGTATAACTCTTCATTAGGCCTACATCAATATGCAATTGCGTGCCTTGCTAAAGCAAATATTGAAAAATTGTTGCATAGTCATGATGTTTATTTATGGGAAATATTATGTCCTTTACAATAGCTATATTTGAGATTTTATTGTATTTTGTTTTTGTTTTTTATCGCATCAATTTGAAAACATTTTTTCTCTTTTATTTGCCAGAACGTTTTCACAAAGTGCTGCAAACCTTGTCGCGGAAACCGTTACCATGGTGATGAATCGAAATAGCGATGGCGCTGAGATCACAAGCTGTTACTTAGGCGAAAATGTTACGCTCTCGATGACTCTAGGAAAATCGAAAAGTAATTAATTGGTTCATTCGCAATGAAATAGTTTTTATTGGGGATCACGATCTCCGTTTTTACAGAAAAATAAGTCAAAAGTAGCCCTCCACTTTAAAGCCTAAAATCTGTGTGGTAGACATTGGATTAAAATAAGAAATTGGGTCTGTAATCACCATAGAAGTGCTGGTCGACAGTTGACTTATTTAAATTGATCACTACAAAATTCTAGTGTGGAAGTGGTAAATATATTTCGGTCTTAAAGTAAATACGAAATTTGGTGCATATGTATGAGAAAAAAAGATGTTTCATTCTCTTTAATTGGAGATTTTTTGAGAATAGTAGACCGTTGAAAGAAAGATATTTCAAAATGTATTCTTATTTCTGAATANCATATTCTCCTCAACCATGATAGGGGCCAACAAAATATGAAAACATTTTTGCTTAGAACCACTTCAATAAGAAATTAAATCCAAATATATAAGCATTAAACATGACACCTAGCACAGTGGAAGCACGTATGAGGCATTTTGATTGGACCATAACAGGTCATGTGACCAATGAGCCCTAAACCCTTATGTCTTTCAAGATAATCTTGAACTTAAAATTCACAATTTTTATATATATAAGCATTTTTAAACTGAGAAACATTTCATTTGAATGAATAATTTTGAAGTTATTATAATTTAGACAATTGTTTATATTTATAATTAATAGATTTGGTAAGATTTTCTCTAAAAATGTCTCAATATTATTTAAAGATGATCAGAGTAGATGAGAACTTTTATAATAGTCAAAATTAGTAACATGTTTGAAGAAGAAATACATTACCATAGAAGGACATGTTTACCTTTGACATTATTCATCAAACTTATGCTGGTATGTATTCATAAAATATTTTTATTAGCCTTATTTTACATTTTATTTAGCAATGGACAAAACGTCCTTCCGAGATGCGTCCTTCCATGACGCCTACTTGATTTTTTTATATGCAAAATTTTCAAATTTATTATTTTTTTTCCAAAAACATTTTTATACACTGAGAAAGTGAAATAATCAAATATTCATATTTTGATTTTACTTTAAAAATATATACACAGACAGAGCAGAATTTTAGTGTTGAAGTTGAAAGTTAAAATTCCATGTCCATTTCACGTCCTTCCGAGATGCTAACTATTTATTATAATTTTTTCATAACTATAATTTTTTTAAACCTAATTTTTTGCCTAATTATAACTTACATATAGAAGAATAAACATACAAAAAATGGACCTTGTAACTTTTTTACTTTTGAAAATATTTTCATTTGAAGTGTCAAATGTCCTTCCGTAACAGCAAAAAAATACCACGGAATGGCCCATATACAGATTGATTCATGAAGTGTTAGTTCTTATAAAAGTATCTCGTCTTTCTTTAATTAGCTGCAAAGGGTATAAAAGTGTTTGGATGTTATGCAAAACCTACGAAAAGTTCAAATGAAACGTTTGCTCTTCTGGGTGATAACGGGTAAGTACATTTCTTTGAAGTTTAATATGAAACAAAGCAATCCTAATGTTTTTCTGAGCTACTGTTACATCAATTAAAAGGTTTTTTAATTAAGTTACTCGACTTGCCTGCACATAACATTTAATGCTGTTTTTTGTAAGTCATTACTATTCAAGTTTTTTTTTCATTCTGGGAAGGGGTCACGTGGGTATTGAGTTTGTTGTCTCCGAACCCACAGTACACATTAATGTATGATTGGATCACTTACAGATACTTATAGGACTGATATCGATAACATTTTTTTTTCACACCAGGTGCCCCGAAGACAATCGGTTCATTTCTGATCCATTCCATGCCTATAGGGGTTATTTTACATCTGGTGGATTCCGTTGTTTCAAATTCCCAGAGTCGACCACCTTGTATTTCACCTGTGCGATAGGGTTTTGCAGCACGGATGATGATTCAAGGTGTATATCGGTAAATATTTTATATACCTTTACGTGTGTGTGTAGAAACCTTCACGTCTATTCAAAAACTAGTAGGTATTCAAGAACTCTAACTATTGGGTTTAATGCTATAGTTTCCCAAAATTTTTGCTATGGTCAAATAAATTTCTTAATTTGTCAATCCCTACACGAATAACCCTCACCTTGAGAGACTCGTGCAGACTCGATTTTATTCCTTTCGACTGCCTATTTGGACTTGATGATTAGCACTTTCTTTAATGGTTATTGTCTTTCGTGTTATTGAAAGATACAGATGACTATTATTGACTGTTTAAGACTGTTTTAACAACATTTGATCAATTTCACAGGGTCCTAGCAGGTGTTCTATTGACGGCAGAAATAAAAGATGGGTGACTGGCGAAGGGCAAAAATCGCCAAAGACGCCTCGCGTTGACGTCATCAACTCCCCGTACCAGCCGGAGACAGAGAACCACTACCCGATAAATTTAGAAGTTTCAGTCATCACATTACCGGAGGAAAACCCTTTTAGTAATAACAAAGGTAACTATTACACGAGTAAAATTTGAGTGGCGTTCAAATTACGAAAAAGAAAATCAAATTGATTTTTTGAAAAAAGAAAATACCGTTTTAAAAAGTTATTAAAAACTTTCCGAGAAATATCGGAAGGTCGAACTTCGCTTCATTCGTAGTAATAACCTTATTTAAGATATCTAGTTTAATAATGATATATATTTAGTTTTAGTTTTAATATCATTTAAAATAAGTGGCGTATTTTTGTCAAAAAGGCTCCTCACGACAAATGTAACTTAATCATTTTATATATGCACTTTCGTTTCAGAAAAAATGGAGGTGCCAAAAGCCATGAAATCAACAATTTTTACAGTGACGACTATTGCCCTGGCGTGTCTGTTTCTGGCTGCGGTCGCAACTGTTATCATCGTACCTCTCCGAATGTTAAAATTGCGCCGTCAACTGAAAAACTCCACTCAGCTGCATCCTGACGCCAGTTTCAACACTCCTGTTCACATTCCAGTCACTATTCTCAGACCTTAATAAGATTATACTGCAATTTGTAATGTAATCCATATATTTGAGTCACAAAAAAGATATATCTAAATAAATAAAGGAATGGCAGGTAAAATATTGAAACACGTTCTTGTTAACATTGACTTTCACGGGATTAGATCGGGACCAAGGTGATTTTGAGTCGTGATGCACACGAACTATCTATAAAAGTGCTGGCGACATTCTCTCAGTTCGACTGAATGTTAATATTTCTGTGACTGTGACAAGTCACGGTCTGTATAGTGTTGAGTGCACTGCGGCACAACCCCCTCCCCACAAAATAAATAAATAAATGAATAAAGAGGTGTAGATAGCAAATTTCTAAAACTGCGCACTGCATGTATTTCAAACTAATTTACACCGGTTGTTTGGACCTGAATGAAAATATTAAAAAAACGTGGTCTTTTTGGTACACGTGCCCACTAACGATGACAGAATAAAGTAAGACCGAAAGTTGGTACACACTTGTTTATAGCACAAAAAATTATTCTATTTTAAAGCAAACATAAGTAGCCCCTATTGAGCCATTGATGTGAAATGATCCGCCTTTGTTTTGAAAATGTACTTTAAGCGAAGAAGTGTTTTGCCCAAGCCGGTGTGACGAAACTGAGCAGGGTCCGTGTAACAGAGAATCCATTCTCCCTTTCTTTATGGAAGTTGGGGTTAGCCTGACTGAAAAATATAAAAATTTAAATCTAAAGCTTTGCACGATTATTAATAAAAAAAAAAAAAAATGATAATAAAAGCACCGATTCCAAGTCAACTATTCTTCGAATTTCTGCCATAATCTACTTACATTATACATCACCATATCTTACGATTAGGAATTTAAAAGAAAAATTAAAGAATTTAAAGTATTTAAACCAGAAAAACACTCAAAGAAAACAAATCTCTAGCAAGGCAGCTCAGTTCTTCTTTTTCTTCTTCTTCTTAGTAGTAGTAATCCTGGACTAATTAGTTGATAAATCAACTCAATTTTCAATATCATTAATAATTAATTTATCCACTAATTGATAAGTTAAACACTGATAATTATCAATCAAATAACTAATTAAAATTAATAAACTAATCTAATGATTAAAACATCTAGCCCATTTCTCTCCAGAAATTTTATCAAATTCCCTCCACAGCTTTTTGCATAATGTTGCTAACAGACAAAGAGATTTAATTAATTACCTAAAACTGCAAATCTACTCGTTTGTTACTTGATTTGCTCTCGATAGTGTGTGAAAAAAACTAGGAAAATCCTTCCACAACTTTTTTCTAAAATGTTGTTAAGAGACAAACGCAGGTAATGAAAGATTACTTAAAACTACAATCCAATTTTCTCACCGATCCAATTACGACGACGATCTGAGCTCATGACAATGGCCCCATTCAGAATAGGTGACTAAGGCTGTATTCCCAGAGCTTTTAGATCGATCTATCCCCGCGGGGAGTCTTACTAGATTACTGTCAGATAATCCGGCTTAAATGTCCGTCCCGCCTACTACAAGCTGTAAGGGGGTAGGCCTATATAACTTTCGTGTCCGCCCGGCTGACAGCTATATGGCGTGAACCCCCAGGGAGTTAGGTCGATCTAAAGTAGATCGATGTAATCTCTGGTAATGGGGTCTAACTAGTTCGAGGGCCAAATATGGCCGACCTACTTGAATACTTCCCCAAGAGAAATCGATTCATTGTCTGGCCCTATGATTCTTTTCAGGAAAGAGCTTTTCTAAACGCCTTTACCCTAGAGCCATGCTGGAGTTTCACTGACCCAGGGCAACATGTAAAACGGTTTCTTGGAAAACTGTAGATCTAAACTACCGTCTTCGGTGGCGTCGCTGTGATTGGTCAGTTTGTTGAGAAGCTATCACTCAGCGCTGTGTATAAATTCACACGCAGCTTCCTTTGCCGTGTTGGACAAGGAAGGGAGTGGCTTTAATCGCTTTTTTTCGTATTTTGAGGATATTCGCAGATAATTCGAGTGTCAAACGGATCGGTAAAGAGGTAGGTTAAATGTGGTTTGAGGATTACTGTTGCCAGGAGGCTTCCTGCTCCAAACAGCCTCGTACAATATTTGATCACCAAGTGCAGGTCAAACTTAGTGCCGTTCAGTGTTGTGCAAGTTTTTGAACGTCGGGGGGAGGGGGGAGCTCTTTTTGGGTCAATTTTGGACCATACTTGAAATAAGGACGCCGTTTTCATCTTATAAGGATGTGGTCGGCTCTTGGCCACAGGGACGGCACAGGGTCGGCAACATGGCTGCGGCTAATTTTGGTAAAATTCTGGAAGTAACGTCCGATGCCAGAATGGACCAGAAGAACAAACTCTGTGTACGGTTTGATTGTCATTGATATCTCAGTCTCTGCTATTCTAAACTAATTTATTTTAAATTTCATTCAGAGCTCAGAGGGACAATAGTTCCTTTGCAGCTAGATGACTAGACGCTGACTTCTTTTTGAAAAGCTTGCTTTCCAGATTTCTTTTGTTTACTGGAGAACAGGGTAGTCACCTGGCTTCAATAGGCCTACTGACAAAAAAGTTGTTAAAACGGATGATGGAATTAGAGGAAAAGGCAAAACTTAATAGAAAGATACACAAATTCAGAAAGCACTCAGATTATCTATCTGAACATGTGAGTGGTTTGCATCATTTCAACAAAATGAATGAGAGACTAAATACCAATTAGAAAGGCACTCAGAGAACACAAACCATTGCCCAGGGCACTCAATTCTCATTTCTTTTAACTATTTATCAATAAGTTAATCAATTAAGTTATTAATATCTAACTTTTCGTCATAATTGCTAATTTATTATTAGTTATTAGAATTTCACATTTTATTCCAGTTTCAAGTACTAAGTGGTCTTCAATGAAACCTTTGAAAGTTATTTTGGTAATGTGAATTTGTTTATTATTACCATCTTAATTAAATTTTTGATACCTACCTTCACAAATGAAGTTTACCATCTCCATCTCCATTATAAAATAAAAAATTCAGATCTCAGAAACTACTTTCTAGAAAATAATTTTATGAGCAGTTTTGGCAATGAAGTACCTTGGTGATTATGGGTAAATTATTCACAAAAAATTAATTTTATCTGTATAAAGGTAAAGGACTCATAGCATGATTTTAAAAAACATATAGATGTTGCTTCATACGTATATTCTAGAACAAAACTGTTCAACTTGATGTCGGTATAACAATTTGGAGTGTGTTGAAGTGCATAACTGTGTTTGTCATATATTGATTGTAAAGATTTTTCATTATTTTAGTCTCTTCTTTATTTTGCTGTTTTAATCCATGACGCAACGTGTGGTAAGTTTTGGTCTCTCTCTTTCTCTCTCTCTGTCCATTATGATAATTTAAACTATTATATTTATTTATCTATTTCCAAGGTAGCTAAACCTTAACATACAATGTATGGGAACATTTCGAGCATTTGTATATTGAAACGTTAATTTAAAACAACAACAACGCTAAATCAAAGTAAAAACGTAAAAGTTCAAGCTAGTAGCAGGTGAAGAGAGATCTAATTTAGCACTGCTTTGGTTCCTCTTATGACAAAACTGATGCTGTTGAATTTTTGTTTTATATCTTGCAGCTCGAGCTTGCATAGAGCCCACCTTAGAACATGGCCGAATCACTAACCCTGCAAACTATTATTTAAATGGATCAACAATACACATAGTGCCTAATGTTGGATACTTCTTGGATGGGGATTCTATTGCAACTTGCGATGTAGATCATGGTTGGATTAATCTTCCAACAATTAAAGGTACACACATATGCTTCAGTGCTTCTTGTGCATTGTTAACTGACATTGTGACATTAATTTTATTATGCAAGACGATGTTACCCATGGAAGCACGTTTTTATAAAAAGCATACTGTATGTATCAGAAAATTTGTCATAGTCATATTTTATCATACAAATCCTATATTTGTATATTGAAACATTAATTTAAAACAACAACAATGCTAAATCAAAGTAAAAAAAGTAAAGTCCAAGCTAGTAGCAGGTGAAGAAAGATCTAATTTAGCACTGCTATGGTTCCTCTTATTTATAACTGATGCTGTTGAATTTTTGTTTTATATCTTGCAGCTGCAGTTTGCCCAGAGCCCATCTTAGAAAATGGTCAAATCACTAACCCTGCAGATGAGTACATTAATGGCTATACAATACACATAGTTGCTAATGATGGATACTTCTTGGATGGGGAGGCTGTATCCTTCTTGGATGGGGAGTCTAGAGCAGACAGCACATGTGATGCAGTACATAATCAATGGATTAATCTACCAACAATTAAAGGTACACACATATGCTTCAGTGCTTCTTGTACATTGTTAACTGACATTATGACATTAATTTTATTATGCAAGATGATGTTACAGGTACCCATGGAAGCACATGTTTTTATAAAAAGTCTACTGTATATATCTGCAAATTTGGCATAGTTATATTTTTCATACAAATCCTATAAAGCTACTAATCTCTCTCAATTCAGACCTTGAAAACTATAAACCCCTCAGATAAAAGTACTTGGCATTGGTAGTTCCTTCTGGAATGTACACTAAGACATGACATTCTAAATGCCTGACAAGTCATTTAGAACTTTATCTTTAGTTAAAATTAAAATGGATTAAACAATAAAGGGAACCGGAGAAGATCAGCATTGGTCAGAATTGTGCCGGAAGTGACGTGCAGTGGTGTTAGAAACGAAGCTGAGTGATCATTTAACATAGAGGTGAACGGCAGTGAAGACGGGTTGTCGGAGGAAAAAGAAGTTTTCTAAACAACATGGTAAGATAACACTTTTTCTTTACGCATTTTGGGCAGAGAAAACTTGTAGATATAATAAATGCATGATATGAAAACGTGACACGGAACTTGAAGGTGCAAAATCGTGCTTAATTGGCGGTCAACTTGTTTAGAAATAAATGCTGCGTCGACCGCCAGCGCGACAAAAAGCGTAAAGGGGAAATAATTCCCGGGAGTCTATAAATCATTGTCATGTGGAAATTTGGCATTAATATAATCCGATATGTCCATATCTAAGTATTTTTGGGTGTTTTATGGTATGGGCTGCAATTACAACGATGTTTTAGAGGTCTTGAAGGACCTTGTGAAAACCAGGAAGTAGTTCGTAACTAACAAGCGGAATGTACCGATCTCCGACTGCTGTGCATAGCTGTATCTTTTTTTCAATATATTGACGAATTTTAGATCTTTATATGTCCATCTGGCATGAAATTCCACACACATGATCACACTGATATACCTTTTACACTGGGGAAGGCGCTAATCAGTGACAAATGCCAAGACAAAGGTGACATTCTGACAGCCTCTTATCTGAGTTATAGCTTAAAACAATTTCCTCTATTACCACTGACAAAAGAGACTGGCAATCAATTTCCTCAGGCTGGCAATCATTAGCCTATAGAAATTGGTCATGTTACATCTTATCTACCTGTGAGAATCGTTTTACCAACTGAGTATTGCATAATAATGTCAATTATTAGTACTTTGAGCTAGTCTTAATTACCTGTCAGCTCACCTGAATTCTCTTTTTGTCTTTTTGGGAAGATCTTGTCAGTGAAATGTTTTATTTGTCCTGTGACAAAAATTCGTCAATATATTGAAAAAAAGATACAGCTGTGCACAGCAGTCGGAGATCGGTACATTTCACTTGTTAGTTACGAACTACTTCCTTGTTTTCACAAGGTCCTTCAAGACCTCTAAAACTTCGTTCTAATTGCAGCTCATACCATAAAACACCCCAAAAATACTTAGATATGGACATATCGGATTATATTAATGCCAAATTTCCACATGGCAACGATTTACAGCCTCCCGGGAATTATTTTCCATTTACACTCTTTGTCGCAATGGCGGTCGATGCAGCATTCATTTTAAAACAAGTTGACCGCCAATTAAGCACGATTTTGCACCTTCAAGTTCCGTGTCACGTTTTCATATCATGCATTTATTATTTCTACAAGTTTTCTCTGCCCAAAATGCGTAAAGAAAAAGTGTTATCTTACCATGTTGTTTAGAAAACTTCTTTTTCCTCCGACAACCCGTCTTCACTGCCGTTCACCTCTATGTTAAAATGACCACTCAGCTTCGTTTCTAACACCACTGCACGTCACTTCCGGCACAATTCTGAACAATGCTGATCTTCTCCGGTTCCCATTATTGAATTTAACAACATATGAAATTGTGTAAAGAAATGATTGGTGAGAAGGAGAAAATTGTTTTTTCCTTGAAGTAAAATTAATTTTAGTGGGCAAATCCAACATATCTGTTGAGTACCTTTAACTTTAAAAATGTTTAGAATAATTTGGTAAACAACCTAACACAGATACCAAAATCTCAGTTTAAATGATGATGATGAGTTGTAGTTATAGGCCTCTGGCCTAAAATACATAACAATCTGTCCAAATACAAAAGACATATACAATCAATGTTTTACATGTACATACAGAAATGAATTATATGACTACACCATACATGTACAAGTATTTCATTTACCTATCCAGACAGTTAACGTTGTTATCTACAATATCACTTCTTAATGCAAAGGCGTTCAATAATAATCTAGTCAGTGAGAAAAAGCTCTTTTCGTTCTTGTCAGACATTATACTTGTAAAGAAATGTTTATTTAAATGATGTTATATAATGATTATGTACTTTTCAGTACTACCATGTGACGAACCCCTGTCATTTGCTAATGGTGAGATAGTAACCCAAGAACCCTATGTTCGTAATCAAACTGTTCTGGCCCAGTGTGCACCTGGCTATGTGGCTGAGAATGGTCTGCAGAATGTTAATGTCACATGTTATATTAATGGAACCTGGGATCCCATGCCTATCTGTTCAGGTACTGTTGCTGAAAGTGCAAATCTTTGATTTTTATAATTTTGGAAGATGAAGTTTGGAAGTCCTTAAGAATGCTGTTGTTTATATTATAAAGATAGGTGTACCAACTTATAATGAACCCCTATCCCTCACGAACCAACCATCCTATTGCTCTGCTCCATTTTTGACTGCGATATGCAGGTATACACCCGATAACAGGCCTTTGACAGAAGCTACACCATCCTACATGGTACAAATGGAACATTCATACTTGTTTCAAAGCCATTACCTGCATGCGTCAATTGTTACCATAACAATGTATACACCTTCCTTTATAAAACTGTGCCATTCACATTAAAATGAATGTCCACAGTTATTATGGTACTAATTTAAAAACTGGTGGTGCTCTTAATATAACATAAATATAAAACATGTTGTGCACTATTTTTATTTATTTATTTATTGGTTGTTGCTCATTTAAGACTGCTTTTATGTTACTACATCTATACCAGTTTAAACACATTTTATATGTCTGTCCTAATGACAGTTTTGCTGCCTGGTTTCTGTTAAGAAATTTTGACACTGAGGCTTAGTGCTCCCTTCATTTTTTTTTCAATTTAGGGTATTTCATACAAAAACCTCACTGTTATTTGACATCCCTATGTGTTTCTCTTTGTAGCACTACAAGATCTTTCCGGTAGGTATGCAATTCTCAGGTAAAGAGTCTATATTTTAAGGAGTATGTGTGACATCCTTGTGCCTGTCTGGCTGTCTGTCAGTGCCTGTTTGTCTTTCTGTACTAGCAAAACTATTAAGTTTCACTCATGTTGATATCTTTCATGACTGTAAGGATTAACACCCAGATGGTGCCAGAATTCTATGTTAAAGGAAAGACCTGGGTCGGAACAGTGTCAGTGATTTATACTTTGGTAATTCAGCAAGGTTCAACAATTAAAACCATGAATAAAGGTGTGTTTAATAAAGATGAGATATGTACAGGATTTAAAAGAAAGAGTACATATAATTTTTTCATCATAAATGATGTACTTCTTAGGATAGAAAAATAAATAATAAATAGAATGTTTGTCTACTTCAGCCACATATCGCTGTGGAGTGAACCCTAACGAAGTAATAATGATAGTAAAAAATAACAATAACTACCAGGATGCTTACATACCTGGCTATAAAGATGATGGGAGTTGTCAACCAGATTTTAGTATGATGCCAGGAGGCTGGACACATGTGGCATTTCGACTGGCAGAAGGAACATGTGGAATGGTGACAACACCAGTAAGTGATGCCTATTTTTCCATACAGGTTTTTTGTCCTCAAAATTTTGGGGGTCCCACTAGCTTTGATGACATGAATCCATCAGTGAATACATTCTTTCACCATATCCCTACTTAAATATCTCAATTTATTTCTGGTGTTCTTTATCAAGCTCAAAAATCATACATTAGAAAATCTACCTAAAACATAAGGAAAATTAGCAGTTTATATAACTGAAGTGTGAATATCAATTAAACCATAATTTCTCTGTTTAAATATGTGTAAAAAAACTACTGGTTTTTAAGGCTATGGCAGATGGAAACTACAAAGGATAATACATTTTCAGAATGGTTTAAAAACATGGAGTGTTTTAGCCACATACAGCCTTGTCATAGAACAACACACTGATGTTGAATTCACCACAGATCCAGGGTGCAATTTCACTGCAGAAGAGACAGAATTTGTAGAACTAACATCAGTTCGTGTGCAGAACATGTATGTACAATTAAATATTCATGTTATAGATAAATTTTGTTTTAAGTGATACTCTTGATTATAAATGAATGTACAGATGTTTGTATATGGGCCAATATGCCACAGTTGAAATTCAAATTCCAGCAGATTTGTAGTCAGCCTAGGAAAGTAACATATATTTAATATTTTACGTCTGCCTATAGTAATATGTGTCACATTTGATAATTTTTCGTATGGTTATATACATTTGGTAGCTTTTGCTACACAGCGCTTACATGTTTTCTTGGCATTGGTTTTGAAGGGACTGTGGTTTTCAGTATATTTATTCTTTCCATTTGTCATTGCTCCTTGAAAAAATCAGAGGTTTAAAAGTGTAATTTCATTTTTATTTAGGATTTTTGCATGGACAAACTACACATCTCTTAATAAATTATTAAAGTTACTCTAATCAAGCTTCCTCCAACAAGAAACATACACTTTGAATTCTTCATGAATAAACCCAAAACATCCATAAGTATCTTACCCATTAATTTCATCTACTTTCACATTAATTACAACTGAGACCCCCAGATAGACACATTGTACTAGTTAGGTCAGTTCAGCTGTTTGGGAATTCTTGCTAAGTGCAATCATTGGAATCAGCTTAATTGTCTGACATGCTTCCTTGAGCAATTTGGGGGTAATTAAGCCGAGTACACATGGAAGAACTAGTAATTACCCCTGAGCTGCTCAAGGAGGCGTGTCATTAAGTAAAGCAGAATGCACTTATTGAGAGCCCCCCCCCCCCCCCCAGGGCTGGACCACCCCAACTAGTACCCTATGTCTATCTGAATGCTCCCTGAGACAAGCTGTGGTTTTTGTTTTCAAATACCTTCCTGTATCTTAAATTATATCAGCTCTCGTGGTGGAGATACAATTATACAAGGAACGGGACCATCTCTTAGGTAATGATGTTTATTAGTGGTGATTTGCCTCTTCTAATGTTAATGGACACTGTTCTTGAGGTATTGTTGAAATTGTTTTATGAGAGTTTGAAAAATGAATAAGTGCATGTGTGTAAAATGTGTGTACCAGAGAATCACATCAGGAGTGTATGATGAGATAAAACCAAAACAGCAGGGAAAAATGACAATAAAATAGTATTCTCTAGTACGTATTCTGTAATTGGAAATGGCATATGCCCCTGGCATTCTATTTACCTGGTATTTTATCAGTTTTTTTCCATAACTTTGAAAAATTATTAAATTTTTTATAACAGCACCTTCCAACAAGGAGTTGCTAATATAGGAAGAGAAACTGTAACTATGGTAATGAAAAAAGCAAGTGGTGGGAGTGACACCAAAAGTTGCTACCTTGGCGAAGAAGTTCTGCTTGCCATGACCCTGACAGAATCAGACAGTAATCAAGCCCTTTCATAAAGACATTTTAAAAATAAAGCAATACATACATGTTTTATTTTATCCATTTCTGAATTTTTGTATTGTTTGATCTCAATGAAATCCATCCATAAGGCTATTATGAGCTTTGCTTGGTGACCTCAAATACTGAGTTTTTATTTGGAATAAATGCAGTTAAAATATTTAAACTTTTGCATGTTTAAGTTATAATATGCTAATAAATCACAAAAATACTGCTCTGCCATAAAGTGAAAGTGTCAAATGATATTATATGAAAATATTGCCTGAAATCTTTTTTTCTTTTTTGCAGCTGCCTGGGGGATCAAAGTTTATCGGTGTATTGTAAAACCAACAAGAGATTCACCAAATAATGAAACATTTGTTCTTTTGAATGATAAGGGGTAAGTTTATTTTACTGAATTTAAATAAATAAAATGAAGGGCAACTTTATAAAACAAGTAAAAGGGTTTTATTCTTTAAGCTTTTAAATATTCAACTTAGTGCAGTTCCATAAAATGTTTTTTAAAAAGTAATTTCTAATTGTTTAACAGGTATAGTTTCCCATTATTCACATTTCTATAAAAGTTTGTGTCTGAAATATAAACATTGTCTTATAATTTTCTGCAGGTGTCCTGATGACCGGCAATTCATAAATGCCCCATTTCATGGCCAACTGAGACAAGCACAAACTGTAAAAAGTGGTTCATTCAGGTGTTTCAAATTTCCAGAAAAAGAAACACTATATTTCAACTGTGAGATTGGGTTTTGCACCTCACAACATAAAAGGTGTTTTCAGGTAAATTCTCACTCTGATGCATTTATTACATTAAGCATTATTATTATTATTTATTAATCAATTTGGCAATCCATGAAGAATTGGATAAATGTTTCTAATGTTTAGAGGCTGCAATGGCACAGGTACACCTGTTTTATGATTTTCTTTGTTTACATTGACACAAGTATAATGGAAGAGGAAATAAGGCAAAATACAGCACAGCACAGAGCACTTGTGCCTTGAAAAAAAAAGAGCATGAGACCTTTGTAATTTAGGACAAGGCAGCAAAGCTGTCAAATGTACAGACAAAAAGCAGGAAATAACTATGCACAAAATAGGCTACTGTCAATTCTGATGCAAAAGTACATTATGTTAAACTGCAAATTCAACATCAAATTTTAATTATGCTCAACAGGTAATACCAATGTAAGTAAAACGTGTAACAAGCATAAGGCTTCAGGCCCATGGGAGTTCAAGTTCACACTTTGAAAATGTATAACTTCCAGAAAAAGAAGCCAATTAGACTACTTTTCCAACCCAGGCTGCATTTTAGTCCTGCATTTCTTTTTTGAACATTTGGCAATCATAAGCAACATGGTTTTCCCATAATGGTCATCATGGCAGCAGCACCCATAATTGTTTTCTTCTATTCTGATGCAATATTACATATTGGTTAACAGCATAATGACCGTCAATTTTTAATAATAAAATATACGTATCATGGATTTTCAGAAAATGTGACTAGCATGGGTCTTCAAGCATGTAGAACTTCAAAGTCACACCTTGAAAATGCCAATATGTGAAATATGCTGAAAAGTGA